GATGCTCCGGGGCCCTGCCTCACACCTGGCACGTGCAGTGATTTCCTGCAAACGCTGAGATGTGCACGACTCTCTTACCCTGCATCCTCTGTTCCCACCAACCGGCCTCGGCCTTGTTACCCCGGCATTTCCAAATTCTAGCGACCCCAGACTCCAGCCTACGTTTCCCTCCTCACCTGCGGGAGTGACTCCGGGCCTCTCACTAACCAGCGCGAGTCGAGGCCACCCCTAGGTTAGGGCGACAGCTGCTGAGGGTGCGGTGACCCCTACAATATAAAGGAATGTTCCTAAGTGAGCGGTTCCCCCAGCGTGGCCCCGGGAGAGCAGCGGCCCCGTCACCTGGGGACTCGTTGGAAAAGCAAATGATGGGGCTTCAGCCCAGACTTAGAGCCTCAGCAGCCGGGCTGGGGCCCAGGTTTGTCTTCATCAGCCAGCAGGGCGGTTCCCTGCTCCCCCAAGTGTGAGCACCACCCGCCTCAGTCGGTTTGTGCGGGGTTCAGGGGGCTCCCCGCCTGGAGCTGAGTTGAAAGGGCAGGTGGGCCTCGTGAGCCTTTGAAAGGCTTTGCTTCCCTGGGACCCCGGCGGGGTCTGGAGTGAGTGTGACCCCAGGATTCCCGGAAGAAAAGGGACAGCGAGACACTGACTCGGGAGGGGAGGCTGAGCTGAACTGAAGCCCAAAGGGCATGTCTTTCTTCTTAAAAAGAAAAAGACTCTCACTCAGAATAGGAGAAAGTTAAAGTTAATACCCGTCCCAGGCTTTACAGGCAAGGACTGTGTGTTGATTGGTTAGGAAAATAGTCATCCTGGGGTTGGTTAGGAGGAACAAAGCAAGAGCTGGGCTTGCAATCTATTACCATGACTATTTGCGCCCCCTTCTCACGGTGACCAGATGTCACTTTGATAGTGTCCAGGGGGTTCCTGCCTTTGATACCATGATAGGCTTGCCGGCCTCTGTTAGCACGCCCTCGCTTTGGGTCGGGTTCATCAGTGCGTAAGTGCCGCTGATTGTATAGAAGTGGAAGAGGCAGGTGGGAGATCCCGTAGAACGAGTAGTGAAATTTAGAATCCAGTTCTATTTTTTTTCATGGTATTTTAATCCAAATTCATTCCATTCTCACTCTGCCCTACCCCATATTCACCCAAGTCGTCACAGACCGCAATTTCCTCTATAACTTCTAAAAGCAGCTTATTGCAGTGCACTCTTTCGCGTTTATATTTTGTATAATACTTTGGATTGTAATATGCGCTAAGTATTTTTTTGAATTGTCTGTAAGTAGAAGACTTCAATTCTGAACCAGGTGAAGAACTGGGAGGGGGACAGAGAGGGAAGGGCAAGTTCAGTAGAAGCCCTCAACATGGCATGTTGGAGGACTAGAAAAGTGAATGTAGTGGAGCCCTTGAGGCAGAGAATGGGAAAACATCAAGTCTTTGTTTTAAATGAGCTCTCATGAAATGCAGAGTTTAGCTAAGCAAGTAAACTCTTTATTTTCAGAAAACTTCACAGATACAAAGTAAATAGCCTCAAGAAATCATTGAGAAATGTCTCTCCCCCCCCCCCCC